CCCTTTTTTTTTTTTTTTTTTTTTTTTGTGTGTGTCCTGGCAAGAAAGAGATCTTGATGAACATAAATGTAATGATATCATAAACCTAGTGCGTGCTGTACAACTGGGACGACGAGAAATGCAAGAAGCTGCTGGCGAATTGCTGGAGAGCTTTGCCGGAGAACGGGAAGGTAATCGCCATGGATTTCGCCATCCCCGACGAGCTGAGAAACGACGTCGGATCGAGGAACGCCACGATAATGGACGTGAAGATGATGGTGTTCCAGGGACCAGGGAGCAAGGTCCGTACGGCGGCCGAGCTCGATGGCCTGGCCAGAGCCGCCGGATTCGCCGAGACTAGGGTTTTCCCCGTAGCCGAAGGGTTTCACGTCCTTGAGTTCTTGAAGAAGAAGCCGGTTAACTAAAAGGCTTTCTTTTTGGTTTTGTAACGGTTTTATGCATCTTTTGGTTTTGGAATAAAGAATGGATGGTAATTGCAATTGAAACTGGTAAAACCACACAGTATTGAATTCTGAACCGGTTATATGTATCTTTTTATAATTTGAATTAAATCGAAAATAAAATTGAAAAATCCGGCCCATAAGCCTGCATTATACAGTATAGCTTCAGAGCCCACCAATTAAAATCTAGTCTGTGTATTTCATTATAAATTAAAAGAATCCGGCCCATAAGCCTGCATTATTACGGACCACGTAATGTATTGCCCAAGAATTTCTGTTCTATTTTTCGAGTTCGAGCATTTGCCCAGGATGATTTTTTTTCCCAGATTGCCCTTCAATTTTGAAGTTTTAGTAAAATAATTTTAAGAGTAATTAATTCTATATCGTCCATAATTTGAGTTTCCAAAACTTCTAGATTACCTGAGTGTTTTAATCCCCTCATTTAACCATTCCTAATTTCACTTTAATATATTTAGTCTTAAATACTAAAGTTGAGTTTGACGTTAGAATTGTATCGAGATCTAAAGATTGATTGTTTCAAGGTTTATAAATTAAAGTTTAGGGTTTAATATTTTGGGGTAATGATAAATTAGCAATAATTAAATGCGAAACCATTGGGAAAAAATAATATCGAGTAGCCCAATAAATTAATTAGTAAAAAGATTTGTCCTATTTAAACATCTCTTAATTATTTAATAGAAAAATGGAGAAAAAAACGGAAAACTACCCCAACAAAAAAGGCCAAACTGCATAATTGGAGTTGTTTTAAAAAAAAGAATATAATAATTAGAGGATCCATGTCCTAATTTAAGATTATCTTAATCTCCTTCCGTTGTTGTCTCGCGGTTGGTATTGACACGTCAGTCTAAAAGAACGTCAAGTTTCATTTTAGTAAATACTTTTCTATCTCTTCCATAGAAAAATTACATTATCTCAACGCCATTTTTTTTATTGTTAATTGATTAACGATTTGTTTGATATGAAGTCATTTTTTTAAAATTACATTAGAAAATGTTTAAACATAATAAAATAATACTAAAATACTAGTAAGATAATAATATTTTAAAAAAAAATTATGTCTTACGGTGGGTGACTCGTGATGAGTTGACTCATATATAAACCAGTTTTTTAAATGAGTCAAAAAAAGATTTTAACTCGATCGCGAGTTCTAAACCCGATTTAGCCCTAGACCGGATAACCTACGTGTCCATCCGTATTTTTCAACCGGAGTAGGAGTCATCGGACCATCCATACTTTTCAACCGGAGTAGGAGCCATCGGAGTTACATCAAGAGGAGCCCCACGACCAAAAAAGGATGGCTTTGTGAATATTCAACACGTCTATGAAGAAACTAAATCTATTAATGGAGAAATGATTAAAAAAACTGTTTATATCTTTTTAATTTATCATTTCGTCACTTTTTTAGATATTTTAGATTCGACATATAATATCAAATCAAAATCTAATATTATAGAGACAAGTAAATAAACATGTTATATTATATAAATCCACTCTCAAAACATACAATATAGATAGAATTAAAAAAAAAAAGTCACATGAAATGCACTTCTCATTATCTATTCTTCCAATAAATATGATTAATTATTAATCAAGCGCCTTTTTCAAATTATCTCTATAGAATAATAGTAGCTGGTTTGAATTTGGCAGAAGAGATCGGATCGGATCACGAAACGAAAGCAAAGCAGAAGTCATTTCCCACTTTGCTTTTGCCTTTTATTTTATTCTCTCTTTGCAGACAGGTGACACGTGGAATCAGGTGAAGCCTCTTTAATCCATTAAAATAATCTTCCTTGTTTCACACACACGATTTGTATACGATTGTACGTTATATATGGTATTTTAAATTCAAATTCTATACAACTCAAATTAAGGTTAAAACAGGTTCAGAGGGTCCACGTGACAAATGAAGGAATATATGTGTTAAACTTTTGAATAATCTGTATTGGAAAATACAAATAAAAAAATTTTCATCAGTCACAACCTCTACGATGATAAACAGTATTATTAAATATACAAATATACTATTCATATATATAAAACATGAATTTTAATTATTTAATATAAATATTTAAAGAGTAAAAATCAAATCAAATTACGTGTAAGAATACGTATTTTAAAATGTCATAGCTAGTTTCCCAAATACATAAACAAGCGAACATCGTGAGAAATTATTTCCAAATGTCAATATATATACGCGTATAGTAAGGCGAGCTTGGAACCAAATCACATTGATATTAGTCTAAAATTTGTAGACCAAGAACCTAGAAAATAAAAGAGTTAACCATGCTGAACAACCGGAAGGTTCTGATGGCGGTGGCAGTGGCGGTGGCGGCAGTGGTGGCGGTTCCGTACATCATAGCGCCGCCGACAATAAAGGGTTCGAGAGAGGTTCTTCACTCGGCGAAGGTCATTCCGGTTCCAGGCGATGGACCGGAAAGCCTCGACATGGACCCTCAAGGCCATGGTCCCTACGTTGGCGTAGCCGACGGTCGGATCCTCAAGTGGCAAGGTGAGTCTCTTGGTTGGACCGAGTTCGCCGTCACCTCCCCTAACAGGTAACGCCTCATATTTATCCCAAAGCCCTTTTTTTTTTTTGTTTCTCACTCGTGTGTGTGACCCCATAAATCGGCTCAACAAGAGATTGTTTTACTGATTAGACATCTCTTGTTTTGGATTTTAGAAATTTAGGTTTTATTTTGTTTTGTATTGTTGATTGCAAACCCATTTCATCATCCCTCGCACATTCCGACAAAGCTACGTAAAAAAAACATAGAACATATTTCCTCTGGGTTGTCCGATCAATCAAGACTTTCGATTTTGCTTGATGAAGGGAGAATTGTTCGAAGCATGTGCCAGAATTAGAACATATCTGTGGGAGGCCTTTGGGACTTCACTTCGAGAAGAAATCGGGAGATCTCTACATCTGCGACGCCTACTTCGGCATTATGAAGGTCGGTCCAGAGGGAGGATTGGCCGAGAAAGTTGTAGACGAAGCCGAAGGTCGAAAGTTTACATTCACCAACCACTTGGACATCGACGAGGAAGACGATGCCATTTACTTCACTGATAGCAGTGACACGTACCAAATCAGGTAGACATCGATTCGAATCTTTGAAATGTGAAAACGATATTTGTATGGAATGTTAGAATGTTTAATTAGCTCGTACGTTATCCTTGGAATGGAGCAGGACGGTGCTACAACTGTTTCTAAGCGGTGAGAAGACGGGAAGACTGATAAGATACGACAAGAAGACGAAAGAGGCCAAAGTTCTGATCGACGGCCTTCACTTCCCAAACGGTGTCTCCCTTAACAAGGATGGATCGTTCGTGATAGTATGCGAGCCGGCGGCCCTCCTCGTCCACCGCTACTGGCTCAAGGGCCCGAAGGCCGGGACACGAGACGTCTTTGCCAAGATCCCTGGCTACGGCGACAACATCAGGAGATCTCCCACTGGCGATTATTTCTGGATCGCATTGCACTCAAAGGCATGCCCTTTCGGCCGGTTCGCTTTGCTCCATCCGTGGATCGGGAAGTTCGTGATCAATACCTTCAAGCTCGAGCTCATGCTTTACCTCTTCGAAGGCGGGCTTCCTCACGCGGCGATCGTGAAACTCGGCGAGAACGGGGACATTCTTGAGGTTCTTGAGGACAGCAAGGGACGGAACATGAAGTTTGTGAGCGAGGCTCTGGAGAAAGACGGACAGCTTTGGATCGGATCCGTGTTTCTGCCTTTCGTCTGGGTTTACGATCTCAACTGATTGTTTCTATATTACGTTTTTATTGATGTGATTATCTAATTTAAGACTGCATGTTTTAAAAAACACAGCTTGTGTGTGATCTTTTTTTTCTTTTCTTTCCGCAGATATTATGTGTCGGATAACCTTGGATTTTCTCTTTATTTGATTTTTTTTTTGTTAGTCTCAACATAAAACACGTCCAAAAAACTTAATTTGTTTAAAAAATGAAACTTTTATTAGGAAGAATAAATTATTTTGTTAAATAAAAGATGAAACTTTTATTAAAAAGGACGAAGGAATGGTGTGTCTCACGCTCAACCACGGGAACAAAGACAGAGGCATTGCGAAAAATTCGACAGAACATTGTTTTTTAACAACTCAGAGTTCTTGTTTGATGTTGGAAGGTGCGGTCTCTCTCTTGAGGAAATCTCTGTACCAAAGGCCGGAGACTTTAGGGGTGCGAGTCAGATTGTTCTTGTAGTCGATGTGGTACAGTCCGAATCTCACCCCGTAACCGTCCTGCCATTCGAAGTTGTCGTACAACGACCACGCGAAATATCCCGTCACGTTCACCT